CCCGTTATCTGCTTATCTTGGGGGATCATTTCTCTTAACATACAGCTGGCAAGGTCTAAATTTCTATAGGGCACGCTGTACACTATAACCAGTGTGAACACTACTCGACTTTTTTTGGGTGGGTGGGGTGGGTGGGGTGGGTGGGTGGGTGGGGGGGCAAGGAACATGTAACAGACATGCTATCACAGTCAGTGTTATTAGCCAAGCTCTAAGTATGAAGCCTGGATCGGGAACTAAATTCTACACGGTGAGAAAAAAGATAAAGTCCAAAAGATTTTTTTTTTTTTTTAAATAAAAATAAAACTTAAGATATCTCAGCACCGACTCAAACAGTCGTCACCGAAATGTTATCTTTATGAGGGGTTCACAGTCATCTAGAGGGTTCAAACCCCTTTAAGCCTTGATTATGGAGGGTGTAAATTTACCATGACCCTACATAAATGAGTTTTGCAAAACTTGGATCTGGAAACGTTTTGAGAACTCTACGGGAATTAGTTAGCGCCATCAGTTTTTTCTATAAGATAAGAGCTGTGAGTTACCGTTTGCGTGTGTCTTCATGTCTCCTTCGTCAGTAGTCGTTCGGGTTCTCTTTTGGGGGGTCATGACTAGAAAATCTTAGGTGCAAAAGTTGTAGCTTATCAAGAGCAAAAACAAACCCCACCCCCCAAAAAAAAAAACATTTTGTTAGTGAAATGAACACAACATTTCCCACCCAAAACGGTTCACACGTGACATAGAATAACTCAGATTGTCACATCGATTTTTTTTTTTAAAATCCTTTATAATAACTTTGCATTTATGGTAGGAAACATTTTCAGACGACTTATTGACCGACTTTCCGTCAACCTATCGAGCTGAAATTCGGCACATAAGCTTGTTGCCGATGACAAAACATTCTTTCAAAATTTTCAGCCCCCACCCATTAACCACAAACATCAAAGTTCATTTTTTTCCCCTTTTTTTCAGAGGCAAGAGGAAGATAAATTCCCCAAAACAGCACTTAATCATATTTTTAAAAAAATCACTCACAAGGGCGTTCGGTGCCTAATAATGTCTTTCGATACTTACTCTCAGCCATGCTGACGTATACATTTGTATGTGTCAAGTCACACGACATCATTGTATTGCAGGGGAGCACCGGCTGTTTGAACAAAAAATTCATACGTTAATCTATTCTAATTTTAATTAGATTTTCTCATGCGATCTTTTACTGGGGCCCTGGTCGTGAGCAGTATGCGGCTTTTTAACGACTTGGAGTGCGGCTCGGCCAGTCGGCCAAAAATCGGTTTTGACTCCGAGAAGCTCGCTCCTTGACAGGTTCTTGAAAAGAAATTTGGCTCTCAAAAATTGTTCAAATCGTCCTGCTGCTGATTTTTGTGTGCCCTTTTGTCTACTGAGTCTGCCGACCACTGAACTAGGATAAGGGTTTAAGTGACCACGAGAAGACTGAATGGGCTCACAGCATATGGCGTTTTATTAAAGGAAACTTTAGTGGTTTAAATCAACGTGATGGATCTCTGCTTTATTTTTTTTTTTTAACTTTACCTAATCCTCCCCTACCTCCCTTCATCCATCCTTCCCCCCTCTCTCTCTTTCTCTACCTCTCCCTTTTTCTATCGTTTATCACTCCTTCTTTCTTTCTTTCTCTTTCTCTCTTTCTATGTATAAATGAGAGATGATCAAATAGACGTTGATATCAATAAAGTCTACAGATAAAATTTGAAACAAGTTCTCTCAAGGGTGTTGAACCGTTGAATCTGTTGTGTTGTAATTATCCACTCATGGCCATGAGTGTCTTCTTGTCTGGCCAAGTCTCTCACTTGATCCCACGAACAGTAGAGCTAATATCAACAGTTAATGATACAACCAACGTTAACAGGTTCGTAGCTAGATAAGCGTTTATTAAACACTACTCCGTTAACTATGGTTGATGTATAATTTCAGAGGTGATTATCAAATCACTCCAACCAAACACTACTCAAAACACAAATCCAAACAGTCCATCCAGTATTTCCGCCATCAATCCTCCCAGAACAACCACGAAAACTAACGTGTCATATTCCCTTACACAATTACGTAACAACACTCTCACACCCACGATAAAGCTACACATAAAATCTCTAACTAAACATCTTTTCCCTATCAAACATGGAAACAATGATCTACACATAACAACAGTGATTTTCATACCCTTGACGAAGGGCACCCACAAACTAGTAGATGAGTGTTATTCGAAAAGACGTGATGTGTCGACTTAGGGGGATAAGATGGAGATAGAGGGGGCTATCGGAAGCGATGTTGGGTTCATGTGATGGAAGGAATATTTGTTGGGTGGTGATGACCGTGATGAGATTTATAATATACTTTTAATCCTTGATGGGTAATGTGAGTTGAAATTTGAAGCATAAAAAAAAAGTAAAAGATTGAACACATGTTTAATAAGACGAAACAACAGCATGCCCAATATTAAAGAAGAAAGCGAAAGTAGGTGGGGGGGGGGGAAGCTAGATGGTCTTTTTCTGCCCTGGGAAGCAAGGTTTTGAAATAAAGCTGGATAATAAACTGTCATCCTTATAATTATTGTATATATATATGCATAAATATATATATATATATATATATATATATATATATATATAAGTAAATA